GATTGCCCAACCTTCCTTCCGAGATATATATATATATTCATATATAATTATAAGAAAATGCTTTGGAGCACAGTTCTACTCTGTAACACATGTGATCACCACAAGTCCAAATCGACTCAATGGCAACAGGTTTGGTTTTTCAGTTTTGGTTTTCGTTGCTGTTGAGTCAGATAGCTACCATTTATGGAGAATGTCACTAGGACTCTTTCATTTGTTCAGTCCTGGGAGCTGTACTGTCCTTGTTTTGCAGATAAGGAAACCGAATCTTAAAGAGATTTCCTAACTTGCTCAAAGGCATTCTGCAGAGTATAAAATAAGGCTCAAATCCCAGTCTGTCTGTCAGGAACTCTTAACCCTAAGCTGTGTTGCCCAACCTTCCTTTGTGCTAGAGATGTCCAAATATGATTAAGACGTTGGGGCAAGAGACTGTGAGATAAGGAGAACAGCTTATCCTCAGCTGTCACAGGATAAGACGGAGCCCAGAGTGGCTCCTTAGCATGGGAAGGAAGAAGAATCCAGTTACGCAGGTAGAGTAGGAAAGATGGTGAAATTTAAGTGAAAGCTGGAGGAAGCCAGCGGGTTAAGTGGAAATTTATCAGAACATTTTCATATTACCTGGGGCCCAGCCCACACATCTTTATCACTAATAAGCTTCACTGGGTGAAAAGTGTCAATGTTTTAAAATGAGAATGATCTGTTTCTGAATTATTTGAACTCTTTTTGTTGGACTATTCCAGCTGTTCTTTGGATGGAAAGTCTGTTCTTATGAATGGGACAAAGGAAAGGGATGTGGTATGTGGACCACCTGCGGTTGACCTCTTTCCAGGTACATCCTTGGTCACTGTTCCTGCTCCTGGGAGAAAGCCAGGTAACTGATTTGTTGCTGTTACATCCAAAGGAATGTGTGATAGCTATTCTATTTAGTGTCTCAACTACCTGGCTATCTCGATGCCCCATAGCTCTGCCTACAAAGGCACTTCCAATGCCCCTTCCTTCTTTCACCCTGACTTCACCGTAGCCATCAGTTCTTTCTCAGGTGTTTGCATTCTCTGAGTCAGAAGCAAACTTTAGAAAAGAGGACAGGATGAAACTTGACCCAAACAAGTACTACACTTCTGTCAATGCCAAATCAAGGAGATGAAAGGACCTCCAATGGAGATCTCATGGCTACCCGTGACCTCCAACACAGTGGTCCCCACACCCTCCATCCCTGTGGGCAAATATGCTTGACTTTCATCTCCAGTGATAATATTTTCTACATATCAGACCAGACCAGCTGCCATGGAGTCAACTCCAACTCGTGATAACTCCATGTGTGTCAGAGTAGAACTGTGCTCCAAAGTGTTTGCAGTGGCTGCCTTTTCAGATATAGATTGCCAGTCCTTTCTTCCAAGGCACCTCTGGATGAAGTCAAGCCTCCAACTTTTAGGTTAGCAACTGAGTGCATTAACTGTTTGTACCCCCAAGTTGGCCCCAAGGCCAGCTTCTGAAAAATCAGCCATTGACAACCCTATTGTGTCTACTCTGACACAAATGGGGTCGCCATGAGTTGGAAATGACCTGATAGCAACTGGTTCTGTATGTTAGAAAGGCCAAATCACTCTTGGAAAATTACTACGTTTTTCTTCTTAACATGCAGGCAGATTTGCTAGGTTGGCAGGTTGAGTGCCCAAGGACACCACTTCCCTTTGTGTTCAGGAGCATACAGATGTGAATGTAAACATAAGCATATTTGTATATACATACATTTCTACATGCATTTCTCCTTCTGCTCTTGTTTTCAAGGTCACCATCCCCAGATCATCACCTTCTTGCTTGCACTGACATCAGCTGCTGTGTTTTCCCTGGTGGTGTTCCTCGTACTTCATTTCTCTGTTGCTAAATGGGGCAGAAAGAAACTCCTGTATATATTCAAGCAACGGAAGACCAATAAAAGTATGAGATATGAGCTCTTATGAGGCAAGGCTTTTTAAAGTAGAGAGGAAAAGCCAATTTTTATTATCAGTCACTGAATCTGGGTTAGTCTAGCACAGTGGTTATCAAGCAGGTGCAATCTGGCAAAATCTGGAGACATATTTGCTTGTCATGACTGGGTGAGTGTTACTGACAACCAGTGAATGGGGGTCATGGATGCCATTAAACAGTCTACAATGCATGGCACAGCCCAACACAACAAATAATTCTTCAGCCCAAAAATGTCAATGGTGCCAAGGTTGAGAAATCCAGAACACATCCAGAACAATTTAAATATGCTGCAGTCTTGTGTGTGTGTGTGTGTGTGTTTCAAGACAGTTAGATGTACATACAGGACACTGGCAACTAGGAATCACCAAATAATCTTTCCACCATCTAGCACTGTTCCTCTGCCTGAAAATGGCTCTTAACCTGAGCTTAGGTCCACAACTTGAGGAAGGAATAGAGAACTAGGAGGAAACTTGAAGTATGTTTCATGAAATGTATTATTATAACATCAATCTGGATTATTAAGAATTTTAATAATGGAATTCATTCATTAATTCATTAACCAAGATACTATTTCAATAAGAAACCCAATAAGTGCCTGGCAGGAATCAGCACTTATTAAACCAAAGCTTATTGATGGGGGCAACCTGTTCCTAGTCCTCAGGGAGGATAGATAACAGGCTGTTGTTGTTGTTGTTATGTGCCATCGAGTCAGCCCGACTCATAGCGACCCCTCCTTGGGTTTCTGAGGCAGTATCACTACGGAAGTAGATTGCCCAACCTTCCTTCCGAGGAGTGGCTGGTGGGTTT